AGGGTTGCCATAGTTACCGCTGACCTCCGCCGAGTTCCCGAGGCTCCTCCCACCCAAGCACCAACGCCAAGCTCATCTACGTGTGATGAGTTTAATATGTGTTAGAAATGTTGATATAACCTAGAYTTTCAGGAATTTTTTTAAATGAGCTATTAAAAATAGAGTGCCATGCAAAATTTGAGGGTTTTGTCCTGTTGAAGCTCAAAACGTGTATGGTTTTTCAATAAAATCTTGTAGATTTTTCAGCAGTTTTTGAGTGCGTGCACATCATGGGCTCAAATCGAACCTTCAAAAGTAGGCAGCCGCCTTAAACAAGTTCTTATCAGCTATCATCAGACTTCTAAAAAGATTTGCAACATTAACAAACGATATGAGTTCTAATTATCTTGTCTCATTAAATTACATATATCTTTAAAAAATATCGCTCACATTAATTCATTTACGAGAATCCGACAATAACATCAATTCAATGAAAATGAAATGCTTAAATAAAGACAATGAAGATCAAAGAAAATGCGCCAATTATTTTACGAATTACCCCACAAAGAAACGTGTCCCAGTGGTCTAATTACTGGGGCGTTAATGGAAGATTACTATATTTGGCCACATCGTTATTTTTTAGTCGGTAAAATCTCTTCGTAAAAGAATATACGAAAGACTAAAACTAGGAAATACGTGGTCTTGAATAAGGATGTTTAATAGTCAAAACGAATATTCTTGAAGTTAGAAGAGTTTAAACAGACTGCACATTACTGTAATTAGCTTAGTTTGTAAACATCCAGAAAGGTCCTATGTAGAAAGAAGACCACCTATGAAGTACTATTTAAAAAAACTTGCATTATTATTAAATGACTAAACAAGAAAAGGCTTTGAGATTTTGATTTTGTTACGATACGAATTGTAGTCCCATTAAACAATTCTTCTATTGAGAAAGCTTATTTTGAGTTGCCAAGCAAAAGGTACTACTAAGCTTATAAAATGGTTCGATCAGGAGCTCTAGCTATACTGCGAACTAATTCGCATGGCTTTAGTCAAAAGTGAAACAAGAAGATTTCATTTCTGAATTAAGGAATAGCCAAAGTTTTTTGACGTTAAGAGGTCGATATAAAGAACAGCAAAAACTTTAACGCCAGTAATCTGTCATTAGGTATAAAAGCGTAACAAACGAATGAAGAATTTTTGAACTTGCTGATCAATGAACCAGACTATGGTGAACCCTATATTGACTTGTGAAACTAAAAGAAACAAAACTTACCAGACTGAGTGCTCCTAATACGGTGAGAGATGTCGTTTTTCCATGGTAAAAGCAGAGAAAAAGCCGTGAAAATATTGTCCTTCTTCAGGTTGTATTTGCTCTTTCAGCTCTTCGCGGGAGGATTACTGTTCATGTGACGTCATTTATGATCACGTCCATATTAGGAAGAAACAGGAAATGATAACTGCGGTAGGAGGGATAACTGTCATAGTACTTCCGTTGTCGTCCTTTCATCGGAACCCGCACGAAATGTGGGGGCAAAAAACAAAAAAAAAACAAAAAAAAAACAGAAAAACAAAACAACAACAACAAAAAAAACCCAGAAAAACTGCGCTGCTTCAAGGAGGATTACCGAACGGCCTCGCTTCATCATGAGATCCAGTGAGTATATGGCATTTGAAACATCATTTGTGTCCAGGTAAATAAAGCATTATGTCTAAGTATAAGTAATCATATGGTTTCAAGAGCAATTTGGAATTATTTAATAGTTTGCATGATTGGATTTTTCAAAGAGTTTCGAAATAGCATGAGCCCCCAGGGCAATTGCTTTTTGAGCTCTTTAAGAAACACGTGAGTAAAAATTCATTTCAAATTGAATAAGCAACCATGACTATAATGATACACATGAAAAATTGACAATTTTCGAAATTATTTGCCTGCAGTGTAAATTACTATTGGTTATTGGTAAACATCACATTTCTCAGCCAATCAGAATTGAGTAAATTTTTCATGTATATTATTATAGACATTTCCTTTTGAAAATAAGGTTCTTTCTTTGGGTTGGATCAATAAACAACCACAAACCACAGCCATAAACAAAAAAATGATGTTCTTGGGAATGACGCATGGTCTGTGAATGGGAAACATTGCACCAAGACAAATTAGACCCACTGGGAAGGAAAGAAATGCACAATATCAGCAATAATGAATTAATTATTCAGAGGTTGCTGGTATGAGTTGCCATGTTCAGCAGCACTTTTGGGAGGGGGAAGGGAACACTACTATGCAGGCTAGGTCTCAGGGGGTTTTCAATAAAACCTGAATACTCTAGTTTCGAGTTGTCTGTTGCTCAGGGTTAGCCTCGGCTTTGTACAGAATATTCATGTTTTCCATTGAAGGTCTGTGGAATTTCAAAGTGTTCATAATCATCCTTTTTTCACTAGGGTAGCACTTAATAGCTAGTGGCTAACAAACCTGTGGCCCTCATTCCGTGATCGAATTGGAATTTTAGTAGTTGATTTTTGCGGAGGGAGAAAACCGGAGAACCCGGAAAACCCTCGAAGCACAGGAGAGAACCATCAAACAACTCTATTCATATACAACACCGAACCCGACTGGACTTGAACTCCGGTTGCATTGATGAGAGGCGAGTGCTCACACCGCTACGCCACCCATGCTTCCCATAATGTTGATGTTGTGAATTCTTTACTTTACTGCTGGTGTTTGTTGGTATTTGTGAATATTTGGACACTATTAACTCAAGGCTGTAAAACCTGAGTGAGAGAGTCTGTAACCAAGGAACTCAGCAGTAATTTGGAACTCAAAAATAATCTATTAGTGTTAAAAAAGTAAGCCCTCCCTCTCTAAAAATAACTTTTCCTTCCTTATAATATTTAAACCAGGATGCTTGTAAATAAGCTTTATTTTGTCATTCATCACAATAATATATATACATAAATCTTTATCTATCTTTAATACTAGATGCATTCACAGCATAATAATTATAATGGTTATTTCAGTAATGAATAAATAAAATTTCTTGATATTATTTCTTGAAAAAAAAAAAAAAAAAGATTACATGTAACTTCTTTAAAAGGAAGCATAGTAATTATAAGTTTAGAGATGTTGAGAATAGTTTAAATAACGTTTTGAATTTCAAATAATAATAGTTTATGACTGAACAAAAATAATTTATTTTCAAGAAAAACTCTAAAATTTTTGATATTAGATTCTAATCAATTTGGTTGATGATCAGAATAGAACAGTGCAGGTTGGTGAAGGTTTTGTTGCATTCTTGCATAACTGAAGCCTGAAATGCACTTAGTGTGAATGCAGTCAGTGAATGGTGATGATAAAATGGAATTTTCCTAAACTTTGTCTGCTAGTTTTTCCAGCATAATTATTTTTTATGTGCCACATTTTTACATAATTATGAATATTAATAATACATTTCAAGCTTGGTATGCACCATGTAACAAAGCCTAATCACCAAGAAAAAGTTGTATTCTTGGGGTGAATGTCACATTATAGTTGTTTATAGCGGTATGTTGGTTGACAATAACAAAGCATTCAACCAACATGGGAGCTGTTTCATTATTATTAATATCTCAAGGTATTTGGAGTTCTGTGGTTGCACCCAAAGAATGCTCTGTGAAATAGTACTATTTAATAAAGTACTAAATAATGTAAATGTCTGTTCTTTTTAAATAATTTGTTGGTGCTCAGTACAAATAAGCAAATTATAATTTCAAAAATAGCACCATTTTGTGGATATAAAGTGTATGTACTCTAGTCAAATATAATTCTTATTCAGCATATAACATTGCTAACATTTGAACCTTTAATGTTAAGAGAAGCAATATCAACATTTTGAAAAAGATCATCTCATTATAGACAATTTCGGAGATGCGTAAGTGCTTTCATAAATATTGCATGGCAGACAATAAGACAAGGCATTTTTGGGCAGTGTGATTAAAATCATTGGAAATCATACAGTTAAATGAGATCTCTAAAACCCTTGAAGAAATGATTTTGCTTGATGTGAGATATTTTTCAAAAAGTTACCCTGCTCCCAAAAACAAAACTTCAAAGTATTCAAACATAATTTTAATAAATAAAATTTCTCTATATTATATCTTGAAAGCATCCATATAGAATATCCACATAGCATTCATGATAGTCTTGCACGAAAATGCCTCGTTTTCAAATCTGTGCACACAACACTATTGTCAGCACTTGCACACTTCAAAAAGATCTATGTTTAAAAGCACTTTTAGGGCCCCACTTTTCATTTTTTAGATCATAATGTGCAAGAACTCCTCTTTTTCATGCTCCATATAATGATGTACAAAAATCTATGTTTTTAGTTTTATTGTCAAGTGTCTTGTGTTTTTTTCTTCTAGGACTAGACCAAGTACACAAGAAAATTTATCAGACTTCTTAAATTGCTTATTTCAAAATAATGTAGGAAAATATATTTCTTTCTACCTATTTTTCTAGAGCTATAAATGCTTTGTATAGCATGGTACTATTTAAATCAATTAGTTCAAGTTAATTCACTTAAATAGTACCATTATTCATATTATAATAACTAGTAACTGATGATAACAGACGCTCTGTTGAAATATGTTTTTAACCATATACATATATAATATACATATATATATATAGAAAGAGAGAGCAGAGCCAATGTATTCAAGAAACATGTTTTGATAGTTCAGGATCATTGGCAGTATGCGAGCATTATCAATTTTGGCTTCTACAAGAGACATGGAAAAGACCTCTTTGGCTTGGGTACGCCCAGGAGTAATATATTCCTATTTCAGACCATGTGTCGTTCCCTAGAGCACCATTTCTTCATTTAATGGTTGAGCTCTGTTGCATGAGATGACACAACTTAAACAAAGAATTCTCAAGGAAATGAAATGTGGTCTGAAATGGGAAAGTATTATGCCTGAGTGGAGGTCTTTTTCCTATTACTAAGGGTTACATCTGGAATCAATCATTTGCCCCTTCCCCTAGTGTTGAGTGCATGCTCATATCAATACGAAGTGTGGAAAGGTCTATGTCAAACTAATGAGTTGACAATTCTCATTCTTTTGGTATTGATTCTACATGTAGTGAATAGTTGAATGGTGAAATATTTCTTCATTTGAGAGTTGTATATTTCCAGTGCAACTACGCCAACCAAGGATGCACACTAATTTCAATTAATACACAAATTTTATCTGGTTTATGCAAAAATATTCAAAAAAGCACCATCATTATGCTGCTCTTGGTTTCCACAATATTTATAATTAATTCATTTGTATAAATTTGTCCTATAGTGGCCAGTTTTTGTTATTAGTAAGTAAAACAAAATACTATGTACTTATTGACTGAGTGGGAGGGCCGTATGGGAAAATATTTGGCTCGAGGTCATGTCGTACGGACCGAGCGCAGCGAGGTCCGTGCAAATGACCTCGAGCCAAATATTTTCCCGTACAGCCCGACCTAACTCAGTCAATAAGCATTTTATCATATGACCCTCACGAAAATAAAAATAATTAAAGAAAAGAAAGCGCGCGGATTCGAGCAGGGCCGGATGGGTTTTTCCGGCCCGCTTACGTCAACCCGTCCGGCCCCCATCACGTGACTTTTTCCAATGGTTTTATTAGAGCGCGCGAGCAGGGTCGTACGGGTCATATGATAAACTCAATGACTGCATTGACATCAAAGGACTTAATCAACATATAGAAACTATTATCATAGTTGGTTTCTTATCTTTTAAAACTTAGACGCATTACTCTGAAATGAAGAAATATTTCCCAAATGACTAAATAATCACTTCATATACAATGAACAAAGTGTTATATCAGAGGTTCAGTGCACTTTAATTTAGAATATTTAATTCTTGCATTAGCCCTTACTCTAATCTAAAATATATTTAATTCTTTAACTAAGAAAAATAGAAATTTATATACCATGTATGGTGCTTATGGTGTATCCTTACTTTTGCTTCTGTTTCCAAGTAGAAATGAGAAAAGCATTGGGGAACGTAATCTCTTTTTGGCCTTTACATTATCAGGACTGGTTGATTTTAAGCCAATCACCTTGTTGTCTTTTTCCATCTCTTTTACTAGAGCCATTCTGCTAGATGCTTCAGCATTAATCACTGAATAACTTCCATAACGATCAAAGTGAGGTGTTTTAATGTTTTTACAAGTAGGAGTGCTCAAATGGTCTTCTTCATCTTCTTGAAGAGAAACCTGCCTTCTTAAACTTGATGTCCTTGATGAAAAATCACTGTCTGTAAAAGATGCACTTTCATTGTTTGAAGTGCAAAGTGATGAGCTATCTGGCATAGAGTCAAACCCTGAAGACATGGATACAACATCAGGTTGGGTGCCATACTGACCTCTTTCAGTAGATGTAGATTTTTCTGAATGAATGCTCAGGTTGAAATCAGGAATGTTTGAGTAGATAGGTGAGCAGGGAGATATGGTATGTCGTCTTGAGGGAAGAGCACGCCTACTGCTAGATAAGCCTGGTGTTCCTGGACAGGAGACAGACTTGGAAGGATTTACATCAGTTGCAGATTTAYGTTGGTTTGTTGTAAATTCAGTCTGGTTTTCATTCAAATCATAATTTAATGAAGAAATGTCTTTAGGTGGGAGAGGAGAAACACGTGTTAATACAGATGATGACTGTGACCTTCGTTTTGGATAACTAGAGCTTTGATCACTGTCTTTCTTTCCTTTAGTATGAACATTCAATTCCTTACTCCTCAAACCTAATACATTCTTAAAGAATCCCATTAACTTAGCAGGTGTATTTTTCAATAAATCATCAGTTGCAGAATGGAAAAGCTTATAACGTCCAGATATCCAAGACATTCTTCGCTTATTCTCACTATTGCTTCTCTGTCGATGGCCATTTTCATCTTTCAAAATGCATGCAGGAGACAATGAACAACTTGATGAGCTAGTACTAGAGCTCCAATTAGTACTACTGACACAGGTGGTATCTCTAGTATGTGAATCGATAGCATTTTCACCATGTAAAGTTTCAAGGGGAATGTCTGGCCTCCGAGGATATTCAGTCAGAATCGTCTCAATGTGCTTGAGTGTTGCTGCAAAACTTGGACGAGTTTGAGGATCCACTTGACAGCAACAAACAGCAGTATGTAAAAACTCTATTGGACAATCTTCTACCATTGTCTGGAACTTTTCAACATCAAGTCCAAAAGCCTAGAATTTATTAAAATTAAGAAAGTATAATTCTTGTAAAATATTTATCTACGTGTTAGACTTGTGGCTTATTCTGAAAATATCAATGATTGTCAATCTATATAAACTCTTATTTATTATTATTATTATTATTACTATTATTATTATTATTATCTTCTCCTTATATCAGTTTTCAATGTTAAGTGAGCTGAGCATCTTCAAGCTGCACACTGAAATGAGTTTTTTGGCTTACTTCAAATAAAATATAATATTCAGTTGTCACAGTTATCATAACAGGGCTTGAAATGAAAATTATTTTCAGTCTGCCATAGTGAAAAAGCACGGTAAAAGGAGGTCATTCCAGTAAATTTTGCATATCATTTTATTATTCATTTGGCAGTGCATCGTTATTTTTGCCCGTCAAACCTGAAATTTGGCCTGTCATTTGGCCATTGGCTGGCCGCTATTTTGAGTCCAGTATAACTGGCTTGAAAAAGAAAATTCCAGTGGGCAGCTCTTGACTGCAGAGTTCATGTTAAATATTGAAAATGAGGCTTTTTGAGAAACTGTTAGAATCATTTTTATCCCACACTCAAGCCCTGACCAAACTGCAGCTCAGCCCTACAGGGGGAAAGAAAAACAATCTGGTGGCTCACAGGGTAGTCCCATGCCAGACTATGAATTCCAGTGAGATATGGATATTTTCAGAATTTAGAAAACAACAGTAGTGTCCAAATAAAATTTACTTGTCATAAACAGTTTTTTTGTTGTTGAAATGTCTAGCAATCCATATCTTAATATATCATCTTTTGCTCTGATATCCTTTGTACTTACTGTAAGTAATAGTGAAGGAAATTTAATATGAACATACAATACATTATGAATTGAATTTAAACTGTTTGCTGCATGCAAAATTATTACTTTTCCAATTAAAGTGATAACTTTTAATCACTGCATTATCACTGTAATGATGAAAACAGTTAGGTTATAGACACGGTACAACATTACTACTAATACCATGAGTTTTCATATATGCATGCACACTCTTACATAAATATCAACTTCACATACCCCTGTTCTTGGCAGTTCATCAGGATCTGCTTGTACTCGTCCAATAATCTCACACATTATTATGCCAAATGAAAACACATCAGCCTGAAAGATTTGGAACAAACAAGAAAGTTAAGAAATAAACATTTTCAAATCATGTAATTATTATTATATATAGCTATTATATTAAAAACATTCCAAACATCCATTAGTTTTTTAAAATCTTTTTTTATTCAGAATCTAACTTGAAATTTAAAGAATTTAACAGATCTTTTTCGATAATTGATAAAATATATATCTGGTCAATAATTTTATGACAAGACAGTAAATAAACTAATGATAGATGTGAACAAATGAGACAAAGTTCATAATGATTGTTTGTAGTAGCTAGTCTTCCACATCCCAACCATCATATAACTCAATAAGATGGGAGTGAGCTGGCACATATTTTAGTAAGAGAGTTATGAAATATAGTAAGTATTTTGTATTTCCTGAAAACAAAGCAATCCAGCCATCCTTCCTCGAACAGTAAGATTCCAGTTTCTCATATAAATGCTGATTCAGTCCTTTATTGGACAGGAACTAGTCCAAAAGTAAGTTTTGCGTAAGCAGATGATGTAAGACGATAAATGTATAATTTATCAATCTGCTAACATCTTAAAGAGTGGATGAGTGAGTAAGTGAGAGACACATTTTCATATTCAGACCCCTTACAATAACTAATTTTTATGCTTCACATATCCACAAGTTAAAAATGAAGCATATCAATATTTGCTGAAATATTCAAAGAATTTGAAAAAACTTGATAACAGGCCAAAATTCAAGGTCCAAGCTAAAGTGTTAAACACAAGCCAGGACTTTTCAGGACCCAAGTGAAACCCGTCTAATCAGTGGCATGTAATAACATAAATAAGTTTACATTGCCTTCAACAAAATTTATTGTATTTAGCAAACAAACAAGCCTTGATAATACCTTGTTATTGTATGTCTCTCCTCTAAGTAGTTCTGGAGCCATATTGTAAGGTGAGCCTACCACTGTTTGTACACCTTGACTAAAAATAAAACAAAACATTTCTGAAAATAGTAAATTTATCCCTACTTCACATGGAATGTGATAATCGGGGATCCAGTGTAGTATGACCTTTATTGTGCTACACATGTCATTTCTGAGAGGAAGTAGTAGATATGTACACCATATATAATAAACATTGATTATCTTTTCAAAAAAAGTTAAGACATCTCTCTTCTTTTTTCTTTATTGGTTTTCCATGCTCTGCAAAATCAGTAGTTAAATTTGGTTTTTCTCTGCTGCCAATCAAAAAATATCAGTTATTACCTTTTATATCCAAGGGCGGATCCAGGGGGAGGGTCGGGGTCACGACCCCCCTGTCATTCCTGAGGTCAAATGGGCTTCTTGTGGTAAAAATGCGACTGGGATTCCTTTGCCCACAAAATTTACCCTTGAGACCCCCCTTCAAAAAAACCCTGTATCCGCCCTTGATATCTATGACTGGTGTCAGTGAAAACCAATTTCACGACAAGCCGTTAAAATATCTGAGTTCACAAAATATCCAAACTTGTAGTAAAGGATTAAAACATCTTCAAGAAAAGTAATCATCCAGTTAAACACTTACTAAATGGCCTTATTACATAGTGGCTAAACAAATTGCTTGAAAAAGTAGCAACGATAAAAATAACAAAATGCTAGAGCAAAAACACTTTTTGGCCTTTAAGGTGAATTGGTGAACCAGACTTTTTATAGATCTTAATTTCTGTTTGTGATTTTCAACATTCTTTGAATTTGAATGTTTCAAGCTATATATTATATTATTATTGACTGAAATCGTATTGTGTTATGCTTTATTTTACTGTGTAGCTAATTAAAAGTGTTAATCATTCACTAAATTGTCTTTTGGTTGGCAGAGGCAACCACTTTCTTTCTTACTTTGAATGGAGAGGACTTTTCCATTACAAAAACAGTGTTTCAACAAGAAAAACAAGGTTACTTGAAGCACATGATTAAAAGCATGGTAAATAAATAGTTTCAAGATTGAAAATTTATCAACTGTATTTTTTGTAATTCCAAATTTTATTATAGGTAGATGTTATAGAGATTTTTCATGTGATGTCATGGCAGCCATGTTTGAGACCAAAACAAAAGAAATTTTCTCCCTTAGGAAATAAATTATCTTGTCATGCAAAAATATTCCATTGTTTCTGTCAACAAGCATGGCTGCTGTGAAAAACCCTCTATAAAAAATACTGAAACAAAACTCGAAACATTCCTTACTTTCTCTTTCTTTCTTTTATTTTATTTCTTCTTTGGTAAACAGAAATTCAAAACGATGGCATAATTTCTTAAATTTTTAAATTACATTTTACGATATTTTTCAAAATTCCTTTAAAGTCTGCAAGTTGTGTTAAAAATTTCTCAATCCATAACAATTTTTGTTTTTTGGCAACATAGTTAATAGAGGTGGCAACTAGCATAATTATAAACACGAACGAGATAGAGACATTCGTGCATAGCAGACAGGAAATATGCTTGATTGATTCTCTTCATAATCTTGATAAAGAAAACAGGCTATGGATCATTTAACAACACCATAACAAAAAATTAAAGATAGCAAATAAAATTAACGATGCGAAACGATTCGCGAAATTAGAATAAAGAATGAGTTTTCTTAATACAGGTAAAGAAAAAGGAATTTGAACAAAAATGTCAAAAATAACATATCGAAGTTAATCTTATTATTTATTTTTTTCTTTTTGACATCTCTAAATAACCTGTTTTTTTTTAATGACTTCGAAGTTAAATTCAGCTGTATTTTCCAGTTGAAAAGAAAAGGAAAATTAATGGACTGGTGTTGTCTAAATAATCGGTGCTATAAATAATAGCTAAGGAGCACGCCACAAAATATGTTGCTGCTTTAAATTTTTACAAAGTCTCAGTTTATTGTATTATTTTCGCGATCGCTACTATATTATAAAACCGATAAAAGATATTTGACCAGGTTCAGATCAATAATGATAGAGTCTAGATTACTCCTGGCAATGAAGAAATTAAACTTGGAACAAAAATAGAAAGTAAAATAACAGATGGAACTCAAATGTTAAGGTTTTTTTGTTTCTAACTTTAGCGGTCAACTTAAATTTTTAATGTTGTTTCACATTATCACCTCAGGGATCGGACACAGAAGAATGAAAGACATCAAGGAAAAACTTTAAATTCCAAGTACTATGTATTGAATCTCCTATAATGTTCCGTATAAAAGCGTATGCGAAAAGCATTTGAATTTTACAATCTGGGACACTCGTTGCGTTAGTTAGCTTTTACGGTTGAGTGGTTGTTGAGGAGCTTGACTTCACTTGTATTTGTCGCTGCCGGACGTCCAGCAACCTTGCGAAACATTTAAATCACCAATTATGTAGTTGACAACTCTTTTTGTACATCGAATAACATTTTTCTACATGATAGAGTACAAACTTACTCGTTATCTAGTAGATATGTTGCCAAGCCGAAGTCTGCAATCACAGCATATTTCGCTCCATTGGCAATTTGAATTAAACAATTCTAGAAGAAGAAAGAAAGAATCATTGCACATAATCCTCTATTTACAACCAAGATCCGATGACACGAATTCTCTAATAAAACAGAATAGCTGAGCAAACAAGGAAATAAGACTAGAATTATAGTAGTCCAATGTGCATACCTTTGAAGCAAGGTCTCTATGGATTATTCTTTTCTTGTGCAAGTAGCTCATTCCATCTGCTATATCCCGAGCAAGATAAACTCTAGTTCCCCAGTCTAGCACTTCATCGTGGTTCATCAATAGTTCCTCAAGGTTTCCGCCGTTAATGTACTACAGCAAAACGAAAGGAAAACATTTTAAACCACGTCAAAAGTTCGGTGAACTCGTGCAACTCAGCACAGTCACACAGCAAACCAAACAGTATTTCCTGAGTGTTTTTTTCCTTATTAAAACGCGAATAAAAATACCTCAATTAAAAGATGCATTTGTCCCTCTTCATCTCCTATACAAAGTCCCAGAAATCTGTCGAAAATGAAAGGAAAAATGGTGAAACAGTAGTTGATAAAAAAGATTGCACAAGGAAATCAGCCACGAACGAACCTGATCACGTTTGGATGACACATTCGACTCAAGATGGCTGCTTCACTCATCAGGTCATTTTCACATATACTCCTATCTTGAATTGAAAGCTTGTCCTTTTTCAAAACCATCGTTCTATCTGTACGTTTGTGGTAGGCCTGAAAGACACAGAGAACAGAAAACAACGATAAATTGTACTCAGTGCACAGTAAAACGTCACCAAATTCTTTATATACGCATTACTTAAAAAAATGACCGCAAAGGCACCTAAATAAATACATCATTCGTCTTTACTATAAATGAAAAATATATCTTATTATAAAAGTAAGTTACCTTGTACACATCTCCAAAGAACCCACTAGCAAGTAAGGTAAGGTTTAATTCGTCTGGATGATAAACGAAAGATTTATCTATTTCCAAAGGCAACGTCTTGATTACCGAGTCGATGTCAATGGCTTGAGATCGCTCTCCTCCTAGCTCTGAATAAGGGATATTCATATCTCTTGCATTATAACCTTCCATGAAGAGAACCATACGTAGTTGTTTGAAAGGAAAGCGGTTAGTTTGAACATAGAGTGAATAACATATACGTTCTTGTTCAGAAGGTCAGATAGAGTATAGAGATCAGTAGGACGTACCTGCTACCGGAAGAGTCCTTCTCTCATAACACACGTATGAAATGAACTATGGGTAACCGTGTGGAATTCTGCATTGTGATTGGCTAAGATGGGATTATTGCGTGTCTTATTATATGTTTGACTTGTCAAATGTCACGCAATATCAAAGTTTTCTAAAGTTTCATGAAAGAATTTCAAGTATTGTTAAGAAGAGCTTTTATCATGAAATTAGACTTATAAATTATTGAAATCAGTTTCTCTTAAATAGAATTATGTTTGATTGTGTCCAATGCAATATTATCACGTTTTCAGAAACTTCAGAAATATAACTATGAATTATAATCATGTAAGCTTTTATTTTTTCCTGTGCTCTCTCTCTCCATTAGGACTTTAATGAGGATTATTTCAGTAATCTCCACCTCATGGGTAAAAGAAATTATTTTAATCTTTTTACATTTTAATATTACTTTGATTTTCGAAAGAGCTAGAACATTTTTCGTGCAGCTTGTTTGCGTGGGAACGTTATGGATGGAGCACTTTTACAACCAAAAAAGTCAATCATAAATTACCTCCTACCGCACCGACTGTTAGTATAGAAAGCCAAGTTCAAAATTTTGAGAGGTCCTAATATCTAAGAAAATCATTTACAGTATTTCGCTATTAAGCCCGCCCCCTTTCTAAGTCATTTCACTTGTCAAGATCACGAATAAGAATAATTATCAATGAATTCCCAAAAGGATCAGGCCAGCCTCTCACTATAAGCGCCCACCTTACTAAAGTGATTAGATTTACGTTCACGGCAAACGTGAAACGTCAGTTGACCATTAAAAATATATTTTAAATATCTTAAAAAGAATCGCAAAAAAGTCCAAGTAGTAGAAAAACAAAAGAATATTTGTCTTTGGTGAGAAGGTTTGTAAAAGGTAAAGTAAAATACAGAAAAACGATGAAAAACGTGATCACGTTTGCCGTTTGCAGGGAGGAAAAAAGTCAATCTAAAAAAACTCTCTAGAATAAGTTGGATATAACGTACGCCGGAGAGTCGGCATTGAACGAAGTAAGAGTATCGGGATATTTTTGAAAACAGAATTTGTTCTTTGCGGTTTGCCTTCCGTCAGTCCAGACKTAATTTTTTTTTCTAAAACGACTCCGTAAGCCATTTATAATGATGATTACTAACTTGCCTTTAGGATCATTCACTACCACATGCATTTGACAAAAAATACTGCTAAAAATAAATCGGTGTCGGAGTGTCTTTAGCCTCCGCAGCCGTCACCAGTTTCTGTCCCAGCGACTAGGGTGTCTTGCTGTTACTCGCTCAAATATGGCACAGGATCCGTAGGGGGAAGAGGATGGGATCGATATAGCCCCCACCGGCGTCTTGCTTACCAATCTATGAGAACCACCCTACATTTATCTGATTTATGGTGAGTTTGATGTTAGACTGAATTATAGAGACTTTAGGTGCTGATAAAAAAGTCGATGTTATTCTAGGTTAATGATATTATTCAGGCAACAGCGACTGCCATTCTAATATCTGAAGCACAATAGCAATAAGTGGTAATGATGAAAAGATAAATTATACAACGTGAAGAGATGAAAAAGTAAGTTTTTTCATCTTTTCCCGGTGTATAGTTTACCTTTTTATCATTACTGTTTCATTAGGAAACCCGACGCAGCTCACACTAGTTATTAGCTAGTTATATATCTCTTCTTATATTAATAGTAATAAATGAATGTTCAGTAGTTGGTAGGCCAGAACCTTGCCAGAACCTTGCCAGAACCTGGCCAGAACCTGGAAGCTAGTAGCTCGCCATCATTGCATAAAGTATGTTCGTATGCCTATCCTTTTTTTCTTTAATTTTTCTTTTTGAAGAAATTTTGAAGGGATTAGCACGGGTGGCGTAGCGGTGAGAGCGCTCGCATTGCCTCTCATCAACGGACACGGGTTTGAGTCTAGTCTGTGTTCGTGGAGCCTAGGGTTACCAATTTTTCTTAATTCAATTCTTCTTTTTCTTCTTCTTCTTTCTCAGTCTTCTAACCATACTGAGTTCTACTAGCTGAGCGGCAAGCTCAGAAGGCGCGAACGCTGTTCTTTTTCAAAGTCTTTCAATCAAAGTTAATGTGAGCTTCATCTCGCATGATTTTCCATAATTTGGACTTTAATCAAATGTCGCTTTTCTTTATTTTTAACTGTAAATTAAAGCTAAAAGTCAGCAAGAAGCAGTAAATACTATAGCAAGAGCGTACAAAGAATTGTTCTGATAATCAAACACTACCAAACGGTCTTCGCCCGGAATCCACATACATCTCACAGCAGCGTGAATACCATCATCTTTTACGGCTCCAATATACACCAAACAGACACACTTTTTCTGTACATCTTCACTGAAAATATCTGTAGAACGTAAGTATTTGGTTATCTCCTCGCTGATAGTTGAGCTCAACTGGCCGCAAATTTCAGGACAATACTCCGTCAGGGTTTCCAAGTTTTTTTCCATGACGAGTCTCATTCTTTGTCTTACTTCGTGTTCTACGCGATCGTACGGCTTTGGATCACCATGGTTAGCCTTCTTGTTCTTTATAGATTTTTTTTGAGAATTAATTTTCATGTCCTTGCCTTTTTTTATGAATGAAAAAGCTTCTGCTTCTCGCCTCAGTACGGGTTCAGGCGCTGAGCAACGTCGCATTCCTAGAGGATACCTTTTTGATTTTAATACAGGAAATTGATTAACACCGTTTTCCTCTTCAACCATCGGGGTAATTGCGTAAGGAACGCCGCCAGCCTCAGCTCCCTTGGGCCAGAAACTATACTTATTGCTTCTTAGTTGTAGTCGAGGCGACCGAGGAGACCATGGCGTTTTAAACTTTTTATCACTAGAGTTCAGGAAAGCCTTAAGTCTCTGGTAAATGTCTTCTTCGTCGTCGTCATCATCGTCAATTGATGTTTCAGAAGACAGATTGATTCGAAGCTTTCCCGCAACTCCTTGAATGTTCTCTTCGCTGCTCGCTAACGACATTGATTTTAACTGCTCCCCACCGTCATTCATTCGCTTTAAAGCAGCTTTTACTTTACGCCAGTTTTTTCTTCCTTTCGAGGGTCCAAATTCTGGAATTTCCTTATCAGATGTCGCAGACTTACAATTCCTAGTTGCTGTTGTTTTCATTTTCTCTGTTACTGCAGTGTCTTTTTGGTTTACACTCGACTGAAATGTTTTTCGAAAACCCATTTTCGGTGAAACAGTTCCAGGATTTTCATGGTTTTCAAATTTTTGGTTTGACGCGCCCTGCAAACCGCCGTTGCTCTCCTCCACATAATGCGAAACGTTTTTGCATGGCTGTTTCGAATTCTTTTTACGCAGGAATTTAGGAGAATATTTGATTATGTCAAGTATTCGCGTGGATTCCTGTTTCGTGTTGTTATTTCTATCACTTTTCAATGGCTGACTGAGGCCCCGTCCACAAACACCTATCTCTTCTATAACCCGATCAGGTGTGAGAAAACTTGTTTCGGCGGAAAAAACGTCTTTAGGAAAGACACTATGATCAAGAACAGCAGAAGAACAGAGACCTTGGACTTCTGGGCTAACTTGTGTCTTATTGTCATTGCTCAAAGATGGGTTTTCTTTAACCGCGGAGTTTAAGAGAAACAGAGATGAAGCCTCGATAACCAAATCATATTCCATCTCCAATAAAAGTACTAATTAGCTCTCTGAAAAAGTTCAATCGCAAAATGACATTAGGATCAATTAACTGAATAATCAGGAATAATTACTTCTAAACATTGGCCAATTTGACCCTCATCAGTGTATTCCTCATACTACAAACAACATTAACATATCCACAAAGTGTGTATACCGAATGTACACACAAGCTAAAGAGTAAATCAGTTCGGAAATTCCGCGCACATTTTGATCAGTGAACCACTTAAACATTAGGTATTATATCAAGACTGACTTACCTTTGAGAAAGTATTTTGCTCTCTGAAATATTGGAGCTGTGATTACTGAATTTCCAGACGTAAGAGTGCATTTATATAGCACATATCCCAGTTTGCGTATGAGTTCACAGGCTATTTTATCCTAGTCTTGTTTGTTGTTCTAAATTCAGTGTTGTATTGAGCATAATAAAGAAAAAATACAGAAAGGCATGTTGCCTGCATCAAACTCTACTTTGTAAGTCAATTTGTTTTCTTGACAATGCCACATTGAATGTGTTTGATAATGGACTTTGAATTAATTAACACGTCAGACTAATAAATACAACTACGATTATTTGAAAAACGACCAACAATCGGTTGTTTGAAAAAGGATAAACAATCAATTTGTTATAAAGTAAACTAATCCACCTTAACAATCATTTTAAGAAAAGCTTAAGATCGGTACTACATATTTAAACACCACTTTATTCACATACCATCACAAATAATGAAATTTCTATGAAACTTAAATTCAGCCTAACTTTATAATATGTTGCATTTCCTTCTAAAGCCAAAAGTCCTTTAACGCGGAACACGTCAAGGTCTAACAGGTCAAGGTCTAACATGTCTAACAATACTTCACCTGGGAAGCGGTAAGCGCTGTCCACTGTAGACGATAATAACCTTAAATAATCTCCTAAATTCCAAACGAGGAACGAGGGACAGAGGTATTAAGTGCTACCCTCGTGAAAACAAGTACTGGTATAAATAGAAAAACTAATTTAAATAGCCCGACTTAGTCAATCGATTAAAATCGATACCGATTTTACCAATCGAGAAATCGGTAAAAATCGATATCACACTTTTTCTTTATCGATTTTTACCGATTGACTAGGTCGGGAGATAGCTAAATTGGTATATGATTTATAAGTATAAATAAGTATATAGATATATGAATAATATTACTTAACATATCTAATCACTAAATGCTTTGGTTGCGCTAATCGAGGTCCAGTTTAGGAGTTTAGGTTAAGATCTAACACTAGCTAACACTATTTCACATGGGATGCGCTAATCGAGGTCCAGT